TTTCAGTCAGGATGTCTGCCTACACTGAGAATGAGTCCAAATTCATGCGGAAAGCCAAGGAGAATCCATTTGTTCCAGTGGGTGAGTACATGATAACATCATCAAGAGACCGTTAGTTAGATAATCTCACATTCAATTTAAAACCTTCTTATTAAAACAGACTTGTGTTTGTCTCAGAGGAGCGATGTTTGTGGAACCCTGTCGTTTACACATTTCCTCAGTTAAAGTCAACGCACCCTGATTTTAACTGTAGATTGAACTTTATTTGTGGGGCTCCTTGCAGGACTAGCAGGATTCTTCGCCATCGTTGGGTACAGACTGATGAAAATGAAGACTCGAGGAGACACTAAAATGTCAGTGCACCTGATCCACATGAGAGTAGCTGCCCAGGGCTTTGTGGTTGGAGCCATGACTCTTGGTACGTAACCTGCAGGTTTCACTTTGTACCACAATGTATTTTTTCTGATTACCATTTTAAGCCTAGTAACATGTTTAGACTAACACTCATTACAGACGTTATATTCTCTGAGTATTAACAGACGGATGTGTCATCTATCAGATTCGATCTTTTCTATATGGTTTCAGTTTATTTTCTCTTTTTAACCCAGCTACATGTTTTTGAGTCATGTTGTTTGTTCGATGGAGTATTAGAGCCATATGCTAGAGAAAGAGTATAAAGTCGTTATAGGGGAGTAAATCGTAATAATATGAGAATAAGGTTGTAATTAAATGGGGAAAAAGGTCCTAAAGAGTTAAGGAAATAAGCAGCAAGGGGAATACATGCTCACCAGAGATCAAATCCCCCTGGATCCAAATTCTTGAACCACACGCAGATGTAGCCAATGTTAGCCTTCCATTCCTCCTCCACTAAAGGGTTGCTTCTTTCTTAAGAATAGAGATATATATAACTTAACAGAATGCTCCACATCCCTCATTTAAAAACAGACAGCAGGCTGATCCTCTGTTATTCCCCTGTAAAATTCCCCGTGTTCTAAAATTACGACTTAACTCTTATAATGACTTTTTTCTTGTGATGTTGCAAACTTATTTTCTTAAAAATACAATTTTATTCCTGTAATCTCAGCTTTTTAAAATTCACTGTAAATCGCCCTAATACTCCCTTGTAGGTTTGGAATAACACTCATCAAATAATATCTAGATGGAGCAGGATAGCTCCTGGTTCCATTATGACTTTTACTCGTCAATGTAGATATGAGAGGTGTCATTTAACTCATTCCTCTCTGTTTTCAGGAGTCCTCTATACAATGTACAGGGATTACATTGTAAAACCCAGGGAATTGAAAGCAGTGGAGAACAAGTGAACCCGGCCTCCTACACCGTTCCCTGTCCCTCAATATAATCTCCTGTTAAGGTGTGTAGGGTGTTTATCTTTGCAGGTGCATTTTATCTTTGGAATGCACACATCCTGTCAGTAGCTCACCTCATACTGTAAATACCTATAATTTATTGACTACACTTCTGAACGTCTAAATATTACCCAGAGGATCAAGCTTCCAGTTCTGTGTTGAGAGTGACGTGTCTGATCTCAGCTGTTGGAACACTGGTCACTCTGTGTGTTTGTGGATGTAAACCCAGCTGGTTCCATCAGTCTGGAGGTTTTTTTTTACTTCACTTTTGAACGGGTAAATATTTTTAGAAAATGTAGCATATTTGAAAAACAGTTTGAGCAGGATGATTAAAAGACAACCAGCAACGCCAGGAAGCCTGATCAATGTATTTTATTTTATTTCCGTATTCTTGTATGATGGAATTTGAGGATTTTTTTTGCCAAACGAAATGCTTGTTTGTACCTTAGCCATTTAAAAACTAAAAAGAAAGAAAATGCATACAAATGCATTTAAGGCATCTTGAGGAAGACGTTGACTACACAGGTCTGAGCTCACATTCATAATACTATTTGAAAACAAGAAGTTTTTTTTCA